GGGGGACCCCCCTGAAGCGTTGGGAGGATTGGAGTTTTTTCCTCCCCGTCGGGGCTTCTTTTTCTCGGCTTCCCGTGGATATGTAACCGAAGAGGAAGAGGAGCAGGAGCGGTGGAGAAGCCGAGGGGGTCCTTTTTTCTGGAAGTGGGGGGCCCCCGATCATTGTTATTCCCCTCCCGGCCCGGGCCCCTCGTTTTCCCTCCGCCTCGGGGACCCCCTTCGCTCGATGCTGAGGCGCCTCCGCGGGCCCGCTGCGGATGAAGGAGGAGGAAGAGGAGGACGAGGAGGAGAGGCCGAAGATGGGGGACTTCTACGACCCCGAACACCCCACCCTTGAGTAAGTGGACCCCCCCCACTCACCCACCCCAAAAGCCGCCTGGCAAGGGGAAGGGGGAAAGAGAGATAGAGCTCTCTCGGGAGAACACGCTCGTGGGAACGAAGGTGCCGGGCGGGTTTACACGTGCAAAAGGAAAGAAGGGGGGGCGACCCTCATAGGCCTTCCCCACACACATACTCCAAACCTCAGAATGTGGGTTGGGGGGTCTGTTCCGTGACACGCCCCGGACCGGACCCCCGTGTGCACGTGTGAACGAGCGGGGCCGGGGGCCGTTGTTGCGACCCGGTGGGGTTCGAGATTTTGAGTGGGTTTTGTTTTTGGGAGGGGGCGTCGTGTTGGAATGATGCCCCCCCTCCCACCCCCACTCCCTCAGGCCAAGAGGGCCGCCCAGGCCTGGGGCCTCGGAGCCGGGCAAGAGGGCTGGGCGAGCGGGCGGCCCCGCCCGAGGCCTTCTCTTGAGGGGGCCATCATCCTTCTACGGGGATAAAACCCCGGGTTCATCATCCTTTCCCCTTTTCCCCCCCGGTGTGAGGAAGGTCGGGAAGAGCTCGCCGTGGCCTAGGCCTGTCAGGAGGAGGAAGGAGCCGGACTAGGCCGCGCATCCCCGGCCTGGCGTGGGAAGCTCGCCGGGCCTGAGAGGAGCCGACGCGGGACACGGGGAGGAAGAGGAGTGGGGGCTTCTCCAAGGGGAAGGGCCGAGGAGGGTCACGTCGGAGGGTGGCCTTGAGCTTCGTGGCCTTGGCCTCCCTCCCCACTCACCCCGCAGGGTCATGGCGGAGGGCTGTGGACTTGGGCAGCCATTTCCTCTTGGGGGGAGAAAGAAGAGGGGGGTGAAGCCTTCACCCTCCCCAGTAAATTCAGGGGGGGCTGGCCTTTCTCATGTTCCTCAGGGTAGGATGCTTGCAAAAGGCAGGGAACCCTAAAGGGCTCCTTTAACCAGAAAGCAAATCCATTGCACCGGAAGGAGATAAATAAAGGCATGCATGCACACAAGCACACATATATACACGTGTTAGGGAAGTGGAGCTGCCCCTGAGAAGCTTTGAGGGCCAGCTTCCCCCTGGGCGTGGTGGCCTTTTGAGGGCTTGGAGAGCCTGCCTGCAAGACACCGGGGATGCTTGCATCTTTCTGTGCTTTCTCCGTGGGGATGAGGATCTGGAGCAGGATCCGTACAGTAGTGCCTTGGCTTAGCTTCTAAAGCCTTAGGTGTCCCTACTCCTCGGGCAAAGATCGATAAGGCTTGGGGTGCAGCGCAAGGCAGTAGGGAAAGAGGGAGACGGAACGTGAGATGGAGGGGCTCTGTAAAGGAAGCCATGCCCTTGAACTTTGCAAGACTTGTGCAGGGCCTGAATTCATCCCATGAGCAAAAGAAACACTCCGACAAGCTCCCCGAGGGGGTGTGTGTCTCTCTCTTGGGCCGACTGCTTATAAGACTTGGGAGCCGTCAGGGCCATCTTCTTTCAGAAGGGTGTACAGTGGTGGTGGGGAATTCCTTCGTTAACCTGTCCTCCCCCTGCTTGAATGCCGTGTAGATTTTGTTTCTTGATTCTAAAAGGCTGAGAGAAATTCTCTGTTTGATCTTTTGAGGTTATCTGGATAACTAAAACATTGATAAAAGAGCTGTTCAGGTGGTTGCCTGCGTTTGGTAATAATCTTTTGGCAACATGGAGGGGAAAAATTATTTTAGTTTATTTTAAATAGATCCGCTGGTATGTTCTTCAGGTGTCTAGTGCGGTGGTTCCCAGCCTTGGGAAACCCAGGTGTTCTTCAACTCCACTTCCAAGCAACCTCAAGCAGCACAGCTGATGGTGAAGGCTTCTGGGAGTTGCAGTCCAAGAATACCTGGGTGAGCCAAGTTTTGGGAACCACTCCTTTAGTGCATTGCAGGTTGGACATTCAAGATACTGCGTGTAAGGCTGCAAGGACTGCGTGTAAGGCTGCTTAGTGCATTGCAGGTTGGACATTCAAGATTCTGTGTGTAAGGCTGCAAGGACAGGCATTCTGACATACCCCTATCATATCCTTCTGGGATTTAGGGGTGGAAGGAGGTCAGTTACAGAACTAAAAAGATGCAGGGCTAATCTTCTGGGAGGTGTGTCTCATGGAACACACTGGGACCTCTGTTAGTAAACAGGCTTAGGATTCTCCTCCATTTCCTAGATATGTAGAGCTGGGAGGGACTCCCAGTGTCATCCTTCTGGTGCAGGAAATGGGCAGCTTAAGCATCCCTGATAGGTAGCCATCCAACCTCTGCTTAAAAATCTCCCATGAAAGGAGAGTTTCCACCCTTGTAGTCTCTTTGTTCATTCATTTCTCTCTTGAAATGTGAAGGCAGTGTGCAAAAATTAACAGCAGACCGTTTCATAAGCAAAGGACTGGGTCATAAATAAACCATAGAAGCAAGCTACAAAAATAGAATACAGTACTAGCAGTTTGTTTGATTGGTATACTGCCCCATTAGTGCAAAGCACTATTCTGGGCAGTTTACAGAAAAATAAAACACAACAGCAAAAATGAAATTGAAATAAAACCAGTTGACGGATAAAATCAGATGCCTCAAGAAGTGTGGTTCCAAATATAGGGAAGTATGCGAGGCATAACAATCAGGCTGGGTTGCATTGGAAAGCTGTAACGCAACATCTTGAGCCTTCTGGGTAGTGTTAGGAGAGAGGGGGCCAAGCAGAGCTCTCTACCGGAATCTGATTCAGAGTGTTGGTGCCACAGCGAAGAAGGCCTGGCTCCAAATAATAAATTTAATTGCCAAAGCTGAATGCTTTCCGAATAATACTGTTCCAATTTACGGCCTGCCAGTTTGCTCAGAGGAGCAGGGCGAACCTGGGGATGTTTTGCTAATGTCTGTGCCACTGCTGATAAGGCCCTGCTTTTTTAACCATCTTCATCCCATCGTTGTGCACCAGTGTGTCTGGCACATTGAAGAATAAGAAGCAGAAACAGTCCTCTGTTCTGAGGAGCACTGATATAAAATTTGGCACAGAGGAGATTGAAGGTGGTTGGTGGAATCATAGATGATGTGTTCCATTCAGCAATACGCATGGTGCCCTTCTATCTTGGCCCATTGAACTCATTACTTTCACTGAAAGGGGTGATGTGGGAAATCCGCTCTTTTACACCTTTTCCACATCCTAATTGAAAATAGTCAAATCGTATTTTTAAAAGTAGCTACTGCTGTGATACAATGTTGAGGGACATTGCTCATTGCCTTTGGTCTTAATGTATTAAATAATGAATTAAAAGTAGGAGAGACTTTATTCCTGAAGCTAGATAAAACCATGCTAATGCTTCAAAAATAGAACTAAAATTCATTGAAACAGTATGAATTGTTTTGATGTTTAATGTGATTTTTTTTGGCTAGTGAGTTTTCATAAATCAATGTATTTGACCATCAACAGTACCAGACTGTTTTCTCAAATTCTGTTGAAGAAGGTGGCTCAGTAGCTCACATCCTCCATGCTTCCCTTCTCTCAGCAGTACCTTTAACCTGCAACTGTTTGTCTTGAATACTATTTTATTTTTATAGCACATCTTTCAAGGATTCCAGTGGACATCATAAAGCTAATACGCCCAGCATCCCCGAAATGCAGTCACCTCTGAGGTGGAAAGGGGCAGACAACTGGTGTATCTTTCCCCAGAATATGGATGGGTCTGAAGAGGTAGAAAGGTAAAATTTTGGACAAGAGAAATAGGGTAAACCTTTGTTTTTGCAAAATATTGTAATGCCTTTGTCATGAGATACTTATATACAGCCGTCATGTCCAGACAAAAATGAAAACAAACAAAAAATATAACGAACTGTTTGGCCCCTAACAACGGTTACATTGCAGTGTCCTTACACCCACTTCTTCGGACATATTAGAGTGAAACAAAACCACTGGTTATATACAGGATATGCACAAGAGGCAGATTAACAAATAATCAGTAGAATGTTGGTTTTATTAGAGAGGTGAACTTTTCTATGAGGTATGAAAGGGCAGGAGACTCAATAAAGAATCTCTTTCTCTCTCTGTGTGTATGTATTTTTCAGAAGTGTGTTTCAGAACATAACAGTTTCCCCTGGATGCTACTGTATATATGAGCCCCAAGGGACTGTGGTAGAGAAGAATCATTACCAAATGAGACTGGAAAGAGACAGCTGAGATAAGATACTTACATAAGTTCCAGAGGGCATCAAAAGGATTAAATATCAACCAGGGAGTCTTAGCTCTCCATATAATATATTAATTCATAGTTCTCACAACCCTGTATATGGACTGGACTTTGGAAACTGATCAACCACTGCTTGGTTGTACAGGATGACAAGTTCTCCAAGTTTTGACTCTTGATTGAGGCTCCAACAACTTTGCACCTCGTAGGAAGTGTGACTTGATTCCCTGAACCCAGTATTGTTCCTGTTAATTATTTCTGACAGTCCTGCTACTGTCACTTTGCTTATCCAGCTTCTGTGGCTACTCTGCATGTAACATTTGGCTTTCCTGCACTAATATGTCTGAAGAAATGACCATACCCACAGAAGCTCATACTGAAATACAGTATAACCATCAGTCTTTCCCTTTTTGTTTTCTGTTTTTATTTGTGTGCTTTATTTTAATCTAGATATGCTTGCACAAACTAACAAGGCTACTTTTTTTGAAAACTATGCAGCAATATGTCTTATGGGGTTTCTGAAATGCAAACTGAATCCAGCTTCTGTTTTACTGACTCAAACCTAGCAACAAAACTTAAGCAAAACGCAGACCCTTGACTCCTGGGATACATCCTTGTTTAACAAGCGTAGTTACTGGAAGTGTAGTAACGTTCAGGAAGCTTCAGATTTTATTTTTCTCTTTTTTAGAATTTGAGCTGTTGCATTGGTTTCTGCTCTTTTAGACTGTCACCTTGGCGGTTTCAAAAAGAAATCCAGACCTTTTTTAACAGCTTGGCGCTAAAATAAATTGACCTTTCACCTGAATCGTCAAGTCAAAATGAAAACAAGTTTTGTGACCTATAAAGACTTGCCAGATTTGTTTCATTGTGAGCTTTAATGAATTGCAGTCTATTTCCTCAAATACCTGCGGTGTTATAGGCAGGCCAGAAGTTTGTATACAGAATAAGTGAGAAGCAGGTGACGGAATATATCGGTAAAGGGCTTTCAAAGCAAAAATTGCAATTTTTTATTCTAGGGCTTATCTTCTTTTTTTAAAAAATTAATTACCTTTTCTGTTTTGAGGGCACTTTTTAAGCACTGGATATATTTAAAACAGGAATCGGGTCTTCTAGAGCTGTGTAATCCAAAATATTTTACAGTGTGGATGGCGTCCTATGTATGCTACCTGTGTTTATATGATTTGTAATCGGACAACTTTGACACTCTTTCTGAAAGCAAATGTTGGACCACTTTAAAAAATTAATTACCTTTTCTGTTTTGAGGGCACTTTTTAAGCACTGGATATATTTAAAACAGGAATCGGGTCTTCTAGAGCTGTGTAATCCAAAATATTTTACAGTGTGGATGGCGTCCTATGTATGCTACCTGTGTTTATATGATTTGTAATCGGACAACTTTGACACTCTTTCTGAAAGCAAATGTTGGACCACTCTGCCACTCTGCTTAAAAAAAAAAAAAAAAAGGAGGGAGCGAGAATAAGAAAATGCTGATTATGTCGGCTTGCTTCATCAGTGATGCCTGGATGGAAATAGCTCTTTCTCCTTCATCTGAAGTAATAGCTTCTTCTAGTCTTCCCCAAATACCACCAAATATTTAAAATGCCAACAATGCCATTCTTGAAGACAAGTATGAATGAGAGGTGGGTGTCAAAGGGGAGCGGAGGGAGCATAGGGTGGGGTTTGAAAAGCTGTGTAAAAATCATGGCTGAAGTTTGTTTGCTACTTCTTGTAGAAGATGGTTTGCTTAGAGTGTGGCAGATTAAATAGGGGAGGTGTTGACTTCTTATCTATAAGAAAATTACAGACGGCTGAGTGTTTCGTTGGAATGAGAGATGAGGTTTGCTTGTTAATTTTCAGTGTTTTAATGTAAGTAGGTAGAATTCTGCAAGCGCAGCTAACTAGAATTATGTATGTCAAGTAATCTTTTGGAGAATGACACAAATGGCTTGCAGACTCGATCTGCCGGCTGAACGTTGTGGCCAGTAATGAGCTTTTTTCCCTAGCACAATTTTCTTCTTCATTTGGTTAATGCAGAGAAAATAAGTTTTAAAGTAGTTACCATATTTTTCCATGTATAAGACAACCCATATATAAGCCACCCCTTTTTCTAATCCAAAATTAAGAAATCTAAATGGGGCTTAGCAAGTGTAGAGGGAAAGGGATCAAAGGGCTGCAGGATCGCTTTGATCCCTGCTTTCCCCTCCACTTGTTTTTGTTATCCCCTCAGCTTGCTTCTATGTATAGGATGACCCTTCATTTTTAGTCTAAAAATTTTAGACAAAAGTATAGTCTTATACACAGAAAAAATCGGTATATGAGACAAGTAGTTCACGTGAAGGGAAGCAGTGTTTTATACACGGATAAGATCAGCTTTTGAGGGGCTTTCCTTTGTGTGTGTGAGTGTAGGGTGACAGAAGGAACATGTTACTGTGCTAAACTGAAACAGTTAAACGCCTTGAGGGGGTTCCACAGTGAAAGAAAAGGTGTTTATTTCTTCTCCTTGGTTATAGCAGATAACCAATTAATTCAAGAAGCAGCAAATCCCAAGTCTGTGAACTGGATTAAGGAAAAAGTTTTTTCTGTATCTATTTTTAAAATAAGATATATTTATCTGAAAATGGAAAGCAATTCCAAAGAACCTGTTCTTCAGAGAGGTCAAGGAGTCTGTTTGAAGGCATGGGTACCACACCCATAACGACACGAAATGACCCGAAGGCATGGGTACCACACCCATAACGACACAAAATGACCCGTACTGCCCTGTTTCCCCAAAAATAAGATCTATCCTGAAAGTATGCCTTAGTATGATTTTTCAGGATGCTCGTCATATAAGCCCAACTCCCAAAATAAGCCCCAGTTGAGTGAAATCCCGCCCTTCACCCTTGTGCAGCAACCACAAGATGACATGACTGTACAGTGGTGCCTCGCAAGATGATGTTAATTCATTCAGCAAAAAATGCCATCTTGTGAAAACATCGTCTTGTGAATGCGTTCCAATGGGGGGAAATCGTCGTCTTGCGGAAAAACGCGTCTTGCGAAACGCGTTTTCCCATAGAAATGCATTGAAATCTAATTAATGCGTTCCTGTGGGCAAAAAAAGTCAGAACAAAGTCAAATCTTTATAGATAAAATAGAAAAACATTTGTCTTGCGAAAAAGTGTCTGTTAAAAAATCGTCTTGCGAGTCACGGACTCAACTATCAAAAACATCGTCTTGCGAAAATCGTCCATAGGAAAAACCATCTTGCGAAGCGCAACAGCGATTGCAAAAACTAATCGCCTTGCGGATTAATCGTCCCACGAGTCAATCATCTTGCGAGGCATCACTGTATTTGAATAAACCTAGATTGTACATGGAAAAAAAAGCATCCCCTGAAAATAAGCCCTAATGCATTTTTTGGAGCAAAAATTAATATAATACCCTGTCTTATTTTCCCGGAAACACGGTAAATCAGGGGGAAAACTACACAATGAAATGTTTTATCCCCTTATCATAGCAGTGTAGACCAAAGGGGCGAGGAGACTTGCAGCTCTCAGGGTCTGCTTTGGGGTTTTCCCACCGAGCGCTTGAGATTCGCTTGCCGTCGCTGGCTGCAAAAGATGTACACCTTAGCCCCCTTTGTAGGTCACCGTGAGCCAGAGTTGTGGCTTGCTATGAGCATGTGAGCGTACGGCAATGTGCTCTCACTTGTTCCCATAGGGCTTCTCTTGCAAGTAGGAGAGGCTAAACCATCCAGTGTCTTGTCATCTGTGATTTGATTAGTATGATCTCTTACCCAGGATCTTTGGTTAATTTCTCCTATCAAGCTAAGATTTGTTCTTGGCTTAGAAGAGCAGCAAACAAGGACCTTGGGTTAAGCTGTCACGCTAAGCCAGAGGTGGGTAAAGTTCTGATCCTCTGTAGGTTATTGGACTTCAGCTTCCAGCGTTCGTGACCCTTGATTATGCTGGTGGGAGTTGCAGTCCAAGAACACTGAACGGCCGTTACTTGGCCTTCTCCCCATCATGACAGGCACTTGAGTGGCTTAAGTACCTCTCTGCTAAACAAACCATAGATGGAGAGATCCTGGCTTGTTTAGCCACTCCTCATTGAGAAGCCGAATGGGAACATCTGAGAGCATATGTCAGTATGGCTTACATGCTCCCACTGGCAGGAGGCACCAATGGGGATGATCGAGATAGTTGCAAGGATTCCTTTGCTCACAGTCTGAGGTTTTCTTTAAAAAAAATCTTGATTTAATGTGATGTCTAAATGTCCCTGTCGAATTAAGCAAATCTGAACCCAGGAATTTGCTCTACATGCAGCTTATGGTTGTGCCATAAAAAAAAAATCTACGCCTGGATACTCATCCCGTCTCCAGCTTGCTTGCTTTCACCATGATAGTATGAGAACAGTGGCTTTCTTGTTGCCACTTTTTAACAATTGGGGTTTGGGATTTATTATTATTATTATTATTTTGTCTGTCTCTGTATTTCAGATCACTGACAGATCTGCCCCTTTGATCCTGATCCACTTTCT